CGTGTTTCTGTTGAAACGAGCGAGCGAGCGAGTCGCGTGCCCGGTGCCCCAACTTCGCTTCGCGCGTTCTGAAAACGGACGTTTCGCCTTCCGGAAACGGCGAAAGGACGACAGTTGAAGCTAGCCAGAGCTAGCCAGCCTCGTGTCGTCGTCGTCGTGGTGTCGAGGATCGTTCGTTGGATCGTTGAAAGGTGGCTGTTGCAGGTGGTGGAGGAATTCGCGATGAAGGAGACGCTGACGAAGCAGGAGATCAAGCGGGAATGGGAGGAGAACGAAGTCGAGGAGAATTCGCCACGGATGGCGAGCAGCACGACATCGGCCGACGAGCAACAACGATCGGCCGACGAGCAACAGAGTCCTCGAACGGTGATCACCGCGAGAAGGCACGTGCGCACCATAACCACCGCCGGCCACATAACCGAGACGGTGGCCGAGCCCGACGCCGATTCGCCCGACGTTGCCGGACGACTTGAATCGACGTCGTCGTCGTCGTCGTCGTCGTCGTCGCAGTCGCAGCAACACCAACAGCAGCACCATCACCACCACCACCACCACCACTATCATCACAATCATCATTCTCGTCACCATCCTCACCGATCCATCGACGACAACGATCAACAACAACAGTCTAGATCGCGCGCGTACGAGGACGAGCAACAGGATGCAGGATGCAAGCAAACGTCGCCGAGTTTCTCAGTGCAAATTTCTCAGACCGAGGCGGCGGAGCTGCAACAGCAGAATGCTCGCCCACGCGAGCAATCTCTCGTCTACCTGACGAGCAACGGTGAAGAAGTGCGCGTCGAGGTAACGGAAGCGGTGGATCCGTCGAGCGTGCACCTGACGATGAAGGAAACGGTTAGGTAAGCAAAAAAAGACAAAGCACGATGATGATGATGATAATTGAACGACGAAATTGAAATTCCGTTGCGAAAAAAAAGGTACGAGACGCCGGATCCGGATAGAACGGAGAACGCTGATCGCATGTACGGTGGATATTCGACGGACGGACAACAACAGCAGCAACAGCAGCAACAGCAGCAACAGCAGCAGCAGTTGAGGAGGGACTCGAACAACCACGGGCTGGCGGTGCACGAGAAGCGAATCGTGCATCAGTCGTCAGCCGGTGGTGGCAGTCAGCGATACAGTCCGCGGGGGGAGGGTGGCGGCGGTCAGTCGAACGGTGGAAACGGAGGAGCAAGATCGTATCAGCAGCACGGTTCGTCGCCGGTGTTGGTTGCAACGAGTTGCGACGAGTACGAGAACAGCGGGGCGAACATGGTCTCTCACGCGAGCGGCGCGACCGTCGGGGTGCAGCAGCTCGATTCACCGGCCGCGCCTTCGTCCTACTCTCCGCCGATCGTTGCTGCCGACGGAGGAATTCGCGCGACGACTGTGGCTGTCGCCAATCAGCAGCATTCGGCACAGCAGCAAATCATCACGGGCTACGTAAACACCGGGGGCGGAGTGAGCATCAAGTACGAGACGGAGACGACGACGTCGGCGGCGACGAACGCCGCGGTGGCCGCAGCGGCTGCGGCGGTGGCGGCCGCCGTGCCGGTCGACGGTATCAAGGTATCCAGCACCTACACCACGCTCGAGACCGTCTCGATACCGCCGCAGTCGCAAACCGTTCACTACCACCAGTACATATCCCACGCAGGCAGCGACACCGCGTTCCCACCGCAAGCTTCCACCTACACGTACAGCAAACCATGCGGCGGCGAACAAGTGATCCTGGCGTATCCGTCGCCGGGTCAACTGTCGACGCGCGTTACCGGGGTGAGTAGAGCGAATAGAGCGAGTAGAATCTGTGTATGGGACGAATGGGATTGGGGTCGATTCGCAGGTGGAGTCGCCGGGAAGCGCGTACATGAAGGGCGGCGATCCGACGCTGGCCTCCTCGCTGGGAGGGTCGCGCGGCGTGCCAGTGCCTCTTCACTACGAGCAGCCAGGCTCGCCGGGTGGTTCTCAAGTGACGCTCTACGGGACCGGGACTTCTGCATCGTACCCTTACGGCAAACCGACCACCACCGGCGGCGGCGCCGGAGCCGGCGGAGGCGGCGGCGAGTACTGGTCGAACGCTGGGACGCCGTCACCGCCGGCCTTCGACTGCGTCTCCGGCTATCAGAACGTGACGGCCATCTCCGTCGGCGACGCGGCCAACATACAGCTGTATTCCGGCGGGGCGTACAGCGTCTCGACCGGCGGCACCACCACCCCCGTCCCCTCGCCGTGGTCGAATCTACCGCTCACCGGCGGCGAGGAGGCCGCCGCGTTCGACGGCACGATCGTCGCCGATCCCAAGGAGTGCTTTGGCTGCGGCATCCCCACCAACGCCTGGCGAAGGGACGAAACTGGCCGTTGCTACTGCCACAATTGCATCTACAACAAGATGAACGGAGTGAACATGAGGCCGGCCATGACCATGAGATGCGGCAAACCGAAGCAACCCGTTGCCCCGGTAAATTTTAAATCCTCCTCCTCCTCGTACTCTTTTCCCTCTTTCCTTCTCAGCTCTTTCTTCTCCTCTTCTCCTGTTTGTGGCAAGCGACACATTTCCACCCGCGAAATAATAATAGGCAGAACTCACTGCGGTTGTTGTTTACTCTGTTTCTCTCCCGTCATTTTCGCGTCATTCTCGACGCTCGCGGCGATATTCGCCCACCGGATATTCGGGTAACACCGGGAACTTCTCTCTTACTTTGCTTACTCTACCCTTCTAGACGGGTGTACGAAGGACGGGCGTTCAGTGCGCCAATTGCAAGACCAGCAACACGACCCTCTGGCGACGGAACAACAACGGCGAGCCGGTGTGCAACGCTTGCGGCCTCTACTTCAAACTGCACAACGTGAGTTCTGAGCTCTCGTCGAGCATTCACCTTCCATATCCGACCTTTCCTTCTAGCAAATGAGCCGCGAAACGTCCACGGCAAGTCGAGAGAGAGAAACGCGGCCACACCGTGATTGTTCTTCTTCTACGCGCGTTACGCAACGTTCATCGTTTATCTCGCAGGGCGGCCCCCCCCTCCCTCCCTCCCCCCGGTGTAGTCGCCCCGATAATCGTTCTGAAAACGATTCGTTGCCGAAACGCGAGCGTATCGCGTAAGGTGCACGGTTGGTGGTCGCGTCTCGTTTCGAAATCACACCGATACACGTGCGCGTGCGCTACGACCGAAAATGGAGACAGGGTGGTATATATTCTGCGAATTGGCATGGAAAGAAAGGGTGACTTTTGAGGGCAGCACTGTTATCCGATCGTCGACTGTGATCCGAGCCAAAGACGAGTCGATCGAAAACGCCGACACAGCCGCGTTTATTTATATCGCGAATTTCAATTTAATTTCTCGTTCGCACGGACGATCGCGAAAGAATTAACCTTGCCCTATTTCCTTTTTCTTTTCTTTTTTCTTGTTTCTTTTTTTTTCTCTCTCTCTCTTTACTTGCGTTGTTCGTTGCGCAGGTAAACAGGCCGCTCAGCATGAAGAAGGAGGGGATACAGACGAGGAAGAGAAAGCCGAAGAATCACTCGGGGATGAGCGGGAACTTGGCAGGTCCCAGCGGCATGCACAAGACCGAGATTAAGTCTAGCTTACTCGGTGAGTCTTCGGTGAGCAAGTTTGTCATTCAGTTTCTTTTCCGTTCTCTACCGCTTTTCCCTCCCCCCGCCATGCTTGCTCTTCTCCCCGAGACGAGATCGGAACGCTGGTGTACCTACGAATCGGACGAATCGTCGTCTCTCTTGAATTTCGTCCGCTCTTTGTAACGCGCACACACACACACACTCTCTCTCTCTCTCTCT